ATGGGCTACAAAACTGCATACCAAAAATTTTTCTAAAATTCTGAATAAAGAGTTTGAAAATTTGGTGAAAATTAGTAAAATTTTTTTAATTTTTGTATAAAGTTTGAAAAGGGCATTTATATGGTGTTTGTTGTATAGCTAGCAAGGCTTTTATAAAAAAATATTAAACATAAAGTAAACCATGGAATAATAGCCAAAACTCTTCAACGTAAGGCGAGTCTATTATTTCTGCCGATACTGTATGTATGATTTGTAACAAAAATTCTTCGGCACATGATATTTCACTAAATGTATATTAAATATCGTTTCATATAAACAAGAAAAAAGAGCCGCAAACACACATCTTTATTAAAAAATGCCATATTTTTTTATCTTCTCTCGAAAAATATATACATATTAAAGGAAAGGTCTTTCAACTAACTTTCCACATTTTGAAAAACGGTTTCTTTAGTTCTCGAAATATTAGCCGCCCCTATTACGGTAATTTTTAGCCAATAGAAACTTGCACAGTATTATACTTAAATGAAATAAGAATCAATAAAAACTGTAGGTATACTCAAAAAAATTTTAAAACTTCTGAGAAAAAAGTTTGAAATTCAAATGAAGATGTTTTGAACCTCTTAAGTTTTCTATAAAGTTTTAAACTTGGGTTTATATGGTTTTGAATTTGAGTTGTAATGGTATGACCGGTACTGTATTTATATAATATAATATAATACATTTATTTTTATATATGTAGTATATAACGTGGACAAACAGATTTAAGGGTTGTCACATGTTAAATAAGTAAAATTTAATTTAATTATTACTTAATAAAATCAAATATAAGTTTGTTGGTCACCATATAACGCCAGGAGAACTTGATGGGTTTGGATTCGCTTATAAACATACAGCTGCGTCAAAAGTATATTTTTATAATAGTGTCGGTTGAAACCCGCGTGTATATGCTAAATAAATAAATTTAATTAAAATAGTTTCGAACAAGGTTTTCGCGAATCCTTCGTGCATCCTGCAAGATTGTAGCATTAGATTCCATGGTCTCATGCTCACCTATATCTATATTGGTATCTTGGGTATAATTTATTTCGGGCATAGGCATATTGTGCAATTTTCTGAAATTATGCAGCGTAAGACAAGCGTTGATGATAGCGCCCGAATAAACTGGGTTGAAAAGAATGCCGCGATCACTTGACAAACACGCGAATACTTTTTTTAATACACCATTCAATCGCTCAATGCAGTTACGAGCTTGTATGTGGTGATTATTGAAATTTTCTTCGCCCCTAGTTTCAGGATTTCGGTAAGGTGTCATTAACCAAGGCTGAAGGGGGTATCCGGAATCGCCAATAAGCCAGCACGTGTATATGTTCTGCTCATATTGTTGCTGCATTAATTGCCTAACTTAACAATTTTCCCAAATAAATGCATCGTGTGTACTTCCCCCGAAACGTGCATACCCAGCTAAAATATTTAAATCGTAGTCACAAATCAGCTGCACATTTTTTGAAAAGAAGCCTTTGCGATTAATATAGCAATACTCATCCTCCGCAGATGGTTTTTTTATTTTAACATGTGTGCAATCTATTGCACCTATCACGCCCGGAAAACCAGTAGCATTGAAAAACCTAAAATATGTTTGTTTGTTATGAATAAAAATACTCTGAATGTAGAACAATCCTAGGGGTGCCGGCAATCAAATTCCGACTTTATTTTTTTGGACCACTCTAATGTACATACATATATCATTACCTTAATTCACAAAGGCCCGAACCAACAATTTTTTTTTATTTTACAGGAGATGCAAAAACAACATAAAAGAGCTTTTTAAAAAGTGGCATTTAACTCCATTGTTTTTGGGACTAACACTTTAACATTTTTATTGAAGGTATATTTTAATATATACTGCCAAAATCTGTGAAAAACGCAGTTTCGAAAAAAAAGTTTTGGTTAGCGCCTTTGTGAATTAAGGTAACGATATGTATTATTACCTTTGTCGAATTCTATTTTTCATTTCCAAACTAGTTGGAAATTTAATGTATTTCATCATTATCTTATTTTGAATGATAAGAGTCACTTCATTAATAGAGCTGCAAATCGTAGTTTTACTTAGTGGACACACAAAATCTTGCCCGATATCTCTTAAAAAGGATCCAGTAGCATAATAATGCAATGCCTATACCATCCTTATAGCCTTTGGTACAAAAGTTATTCGTATACCATCCTTCATATACGGACTTATTTCACCAAGAAGTTCCAGCGCAGACTCCTTATTCAATCTAAATAACTCAATGAAACGCGCTTCTGGCAAATAAAATGGATCAGTATTATCCCTTAAAAAGCGCCTATGAATGCGCAACATGTTCCTTTGATCATCAGCCAATGCAAGTAGATGTGCAACCATCATTCTATATTTTAAATGATTTAAATAATCAAAATATATAAAAATTATTACTTTTACTTCAATTTCTCACAACTATACAAGAACATATGTTCTTCATTCTGACAATTCGTGTAATTTTTACAATACTCACCACCAATTTATCGCAAGGTGAGTTTTTTTAGTTACAGAAACACTTCGTTTATCGTTTGCGATATGAACTTTGCGATACCGCGTTCTGACAGAATTTGCGATATAATATCGCATTAGTTACAGAAACGCACTACTGGTAAAGCTCGTAGAATATGACCACCGAAAGTGGTTTTATTTCTAAAATATGGTCACCGTAATTATGCTGCAAGTAAAGAGGAAGCTTCTCTAAATTATCCAAGCTTGCATGCAAATATTTTCAGTCAGACATCCATCATTGTAATAGTTAATATGTATAGTGAGAAACCGGCTTTGCGTTCGACAACGCAGGAATAGAATGAGTCACTAATCACTGAGCGCCAGAACACAAGGAAAAAAAGGAATAAGGGACTGACATGTCATTCAAAAACGGGGAATTTGTGATGAGCTCCGGGTTAATACTGGGGTTGGTTTTAAGTGTGGGATAGAACCTACCCGCTCCTCTCCGATTTGTGAGCGTAAGTCAATCCCACCAAATATCATTAAGGCAAGCGTAAAGAAGCGGGAGTAGAAGCTACCCGAAACCTTTCAATAGAGCCTACCCCATGCCTGCCAAAGCTATCTCTTTAGCAGCCATTATCGGGGAACACACCAGTTATCAACCACGCCTACAATCGTTTAAGGATAGAATTAGACAGGGTAATCACGTCGAAGAGAAAATCCTTGGGAATTGGAAATGCGGGTTCCGATTTGAATACTTTCGAGGCTGACCCAGCCAGAGGACTATGTCCAATCAATTCGTTCGTTCTTCAGATGCGTGGACTTCTAGACATGGAACCATCCTCCTCTAAACTACTACATAACTATTTGTATGCATGTATTCACCTATGGTTGCACAAATCCCAATTGGATTTCTCCAGTAGAGTTTATAGGCTTCATATTAATCAACCAGCAATAGTACAACAACGTCCAAAATGGTACACGCATACCTATTTTGATTTATAGCTGGAGATTTATTGTAATTGAAGTCGCAATTCACCGATAAATCAATGGCAAAAAATGGAACTACTCTGAGGAAGTAGAACACCGATTTTCACAAAAGTTTGTATGTTTGTAATTGTTTGTAATTCATATATATTTTTATATATGTATGTAAATATTTACAGAAACAATTGTTGATATTTTGTTATCGAATATATTATGCTATACATACATATTGTAGATTTTTGGCGCACATTTCAAGGTCCTCTGACATTTACAACTTTATTAAGAATTTTGTGCGTTAATATTTACATACAAATTTCTTTTTGTTTATGCGGCTTGTAAGCGTCACACGTTGCCGCAATATGTTGCGGCATAAGAAATTACCAAGCATGTTTTTCCGAACAACAAAAACACATAACTATACATACAAATGTACATGTATACAATATCAAATTGGACGAGACTTTGGAGTGTTGATTCGGTCAATGGCCGAATGAAGTTAATATTTAATAAGAACTTTGTTGCGTGACATGTGATTTATGAGCACGTCTATCAAAGTTAAGTAGGCATGTTTTTGTATAAATACATATAAGTAAATACATACAAATACATATATGTTTATGAAGAACTAACTTATGTGTGAAAATCGAAAATTTGATTTGGAAATAAGGTAAGATTTATGACGCGAAATTAATTGATTTGTTTATATTCAACTTCTGGTTAAGGTTTTTTCTGGTGAATACTTTGATTTGCAACAAACGATTTATGAAACAGAGCGGACCGCTTCGTGTAGTAAAATAATTAACGAAAGATGTTTCATTTACAAACTCATTTACATTGCGGAGACTCTGGTGAAAAACCCGAAAAGCATAGTAAACACACAAGTAACGACTAATTAAATTGAAGAGAAACACTCTTTTTCCCATTGAAAAAAGCTAAAAAAATGTTGGTAAAGGCAAAAAACTTCGTCTCTAAAATATATAAGCAGCAAAGGGGGAGAGCTATCTGGCTGTGCGAAAAAAATTTATAATGTTAACAGGACAATTTTGGCTAAGATAGTTGAAAGTTTTTTGTAAGACAATTGAAATATTTTGTTTATTCTGGCACG